GAATGGATGCGGCATGCCTTTCATCACCTGTAAATCCACCTTGACCCCAGCTTTCTTCAGTTTCTCCGCATACTGCTCTCCCTCCACTCGGAGCACATCCAACTCGCCGACCATGACCAATGCCTTCGGCAGCTTCGACCAATCGCCCTCGTAGAACAACGGGCTTGCTTCGGGATTGGTGCGATCCCCATGGTTGGGTAGATAGTGATCGCGGTACCAGATCATTTTGGCAGCTGGAAGGGCCGGCGTGTGCTCGTACAGTCTGTAGGATTCGTTGTTCTGAACCGTTGCTGTGTTATCTGTGACTGGAACAGAGAGGAGCTGGGCGAGGAAATGGACGGGTGGGGAAAGCGTTAGGGCCTTGTGGGTGATGATTGAGGCTAGATTTCCGCCCGCCGAGGAGCCACCGGTCGCCATTTTAGATGTGTTAATAGAGAGTCGTGAGCGCCCGTCGGAAATCAGCCAGAGAAGAGATTCCCAACAGTCATGGACGGCTGCGGGAAAGGGATTCTCTGGGGCGAGCCTACTTGCATTATTAGCATGAGTAATTCAGGCCCAGTACGAGATGCGATAGTGAGCTTGGTGTATATATATATACCTGTAATCAACGGTGACTACGACGCAGTTTCCCCTCACGCATAGATTTGTGCAAACCGGATTCTCCGTGTTGATATTACCCAAAACCCATCCGCCCCCATGGAAATACAGCATCACTGGCCACCCTCCGTTTGGTGTCTCCCCAGCTGGGGTGAATGCGCGCAACAGGATTTCTGGACCTTCTGTCGCGCGTCGCTTGATCGTGATATCCTCTGTCTTTCCGACCTCGAGGAGCGGACCCCCGCCGGGGATTAGAACCCCGCTTGTTCGGGAGGCTTCGACGGGTTGGAGATGGACTTGCTGCTGGTTGATGACATACTTGTTATAGAAGGAAATATATTCGGGATCCAAGAGGTCCTTCACAGAAGGATGGAGAGGGTAAGGGGGCTGAAGCGTTGAGATTGACATATTGTGTAGGTAGCTTAGTATTGTGCCGCTGGGGGTGCAACTTCAGAGTGAATGGATTTCTGAGTCAATGGAAATTCGGCGTCCTTTTGTTTGCCTTCTTACGTATCAGCCTCCGCACCTCCTCACGCAGATCGTTACATTCCAGAATTGATGGTTGCATTCCGACGCAAGGGACGTGGGGGTTTCCATGCCAATATCCTGATAGGGATTGAGTTTGAGCCCTTGAAGATACGTGCATTCTCACGATCATGAATAGGATACTTAGCGATCTGAAGGATTCTCGGCATTTTCAGCCACTGATGGTGGAGGGAATCGAGGTGAAGTGGGGTTGGTTGGTATGTCATTGGCACACGAAGTCGACGTGGGGGTGGAGGATGGAGTATATCGTTGCTTTCCCCGCATGCGTAAAATCGTATGTATACCTATTTAATCAACTACTCCGTAGTCGAGGGAGCAACATGTAGTATTGAGCCCCCGAGCAATTTGCTACCACACCTACATAATAGGTTCTTCTTTTCTCTCTTCTCTATCATTATCTCCCGTGCTCCTCAACTACGTATCAGTTTAACCCACCAAACCTTCAAACCCTATATCAACATGGCCACCAAAACTCCGATCCTGACCGACAAAGCCCCCAAGCCCCTCCCCGGTATCTACTCTCAAGCCATCGTCTCTAATGGTGTCGTTTATTGCTCCGGCGCAGTCGCTATGGACCCAGAAACCGGCAAGATCGTTGATGGGGACATCAAAACTCACACTGTATGTACCTAGCGTCCCCATAAGATTCACCTACATGATATCAGAGTAGAGGACTGAGCGACACCAGCACCAATGTATCAAGAACCTTTCCCATGTTCTCGAGGCCGCAGGTAGCGATATCACGAAGGTCCTCAAGGTGAATGTGTTCTTGTCTGATATGGATAACTTTGCCGAGATGAATTCCGTCTATATGCAGTACTGGGGTGATGTGAAGCCTTGTCGGACGTAAGTCTCCTCTTGCTATCTTGACCTCTGTGGTTCTTATGTGAACTGGGAATCTATTAGCAAAGTTCTTGTTGCTGACACCTTAGTAGATGTGTGGCAGTTAAGACCCTACCCTTGAATACGGATGTGGAGATTGAGTGTATTGCTGCTGTGTAAACTAGGTTCTCCCGCTTGGGTAAACCAGAGAGCCAGTATCCATGGCTATGACACTATTATTCATATTGTTTAGGTCAAAAGAGATAAAATGTAAATTACATACGCTCGGTCTGTGCCTCTCCAAGTGTAGTTGATATGTGAACCACAGTATAATGGATGTAGTAATGGAAATCTCAATCATACTTGATATATAGTTTATTTAATTACTATTTTCTTCCCTTGTCTCATCGGTTGGGCGATTGTTTCACTGTAATCGGTGCCATGCCATACCTAGTATACCCGTCAGTACACAGCAGCTACTCCATGAAAGACAACAAGTGAAAGAACGCCGATACAAAGGCTTGAGAAAAATATAATATGGAAAATACACATACCAGACAATACTTATTAAACCTAGAATTGCGGCAATGCAGCTGAAAACCAAGGCCACAATGCCTCGCGCAGTAAACCCGGCGGGCAGTGGAGGAACCGAGGTGTTCGCCCCAGTCAGATCGTAAAAGTCTTTTGTGTTTCCTGCTGCATTGCCCTCTTTCAAGGTATTACTTGCATCGCATGCCTGCCAGTGGTCGTCTGGAATTGTAAGTGTCTGTTGCAGATCTAATGGCGCTTCAATCAGGACGACCGCGAGGCCGGCGTCCATGTGCCATTCGATGTGACAGTGAAAGATCCATACACCTGTCAGCGATTAGCTATCAGCTGGCGAATCTAAATGGGAATCGGAAGTCACCTGGATTATCCGCTCGGAATCGGATAACAAAGTGCCCTGTCGGCTTCACGTATATAGTATCCCTTCGCATCGGGACTGACGGGAAAGCAGGATGGTTGTTGGCATCATAGTGACCTACGTCTTCATCGCTGCGAGCGACGACTTGGAAATTATGACCATGAAGATGGAAAGGATGTTTTCCCGTGTCGTCGTTGTTCAGGACAAGGTCAATGATATCGCCTTTATTCAGGATGAAGGCGTTGGTATTGTAACCGTATACAGTGGAATTTGTGGCAGCTGAACCGGTGGATAAAGCCGTGTAAAGCGTTGGCACTTTAGGCATAACATATGTTATACCATTGAAGAAGGCACTGTACCTCGTTAGAGAATGAAAAGTGACTAATTATATGGAGTGATTGTATACTTACTAATTAGCACCGTCTCCCAGATTATCCATGGAAAGATCGAGAGTGACTGTGTAGTCAGGGTCGCCCAATAGTTTCTCACCATCGGCAGGGACAAGTCCGAAGTCATCGTATGGATCGAATGATGAAATATCAGCCGGACCCGGTCTTTCAGCCTTGTCGTCGTAGACTAGCCATCCCGTAACGTTGTAGTTCAGAGTCGGAGGGAGTGCATCGAAGAGGTCCTACCAAGTGATAAGAACCTGAGTAATGAATGAAAAAATGAATGAATTGAGCCCTACCGTGTCCATACTTCCCACCATAGCGTAGTTCTTGCTTGTGTCATTTTTCATTGTCACCAAGAAACTGTAGCGTTGCGCTGCTGTAATGTAGATCATACTGGCTTCAGCTGGTTCAGTCCATACGCCATCGACCTCCACAATTTTCATGGTATGGCCCTCAATCCAGAAATACTGGCTTGCGAAGGCCGCCACATTGACTAAACGAAATAGGTAAGTCTTCCCTGGCTCAACAGCTACGGTCAAGTTCTGAGTATCATTCATGAGTGCAGACTTTGGGACAGGCTCTGCTCCAGTAGGATTTGTAACACTGATAAACTGCTTCAGCAGTGTCGGCATGGGGTCATGATACCACTCTGATAGAGTAATCACACGCTCCTCATCATACTGGTCAGAATAGGGCTCATCAGGACCCTTGATCACTAGAGCCTGCCGTAGGCCATCTGGGTACTGGCCACGAGCATGTGAGTGGTACCAATAGGTGCCCGTTTGATTTACCTGCGCCTCCAGTCAAACCGAGGGCTCACAACAGCTTGTACAATTGAAGCGACTCACAGTGAAGTTGTAAACGAATGTGGACCCCGGGGCAATGTCACACTGTGTTATACTCGGAGCACCATCCATATGGGTGGTTCCATTCTGGAAAAAGCCATGCCAATGTATGCTGGTAGATTCATTGCCCAATGCATTGTATACCTTTGCAATCACTCGATCGCCGAGGGTGAAATTGAGCACCGGAAGGGGCCATTGGCCATTAATACCAATCACAAGACGTTCTTGCAAGCCATCTGGATTGGCCGATACCCAAGTGATGTTCCATTCATAATTGAGGGTCTCGGCACTCACTGAGAGAATGTGGACAAGGAAACCCACCAACCAGAAAAGCCCTAGTGTCATGATAAGGGAGCAAACAGCGCACACACTTGGGAGATGGAATGCTCGCAAGCAGTTAGAAATAAGGATTAAGAGAGAACAAAATGGAGGCTCCTCTCCTCCGTTTGAAATCTCTCCCGTATTTTATCCCAACTGTGTGGGCACCTGGTAGTGGGATGGTCCCGGGGAGCATGGTCAACCCTCATACGCAGGGATGATCACTGGTAATAAATGAATGGTCCATGGAACCCTGAGCGCATATTATCGTCTTAGTGTCTTTCCTTCCTCCACCTCAAATGGGGCCACTCAAGAGTCAATGGAAAGCCAAGTGATGATCGGACACGGCTTAGCGGAAGCTTAACCCGTGCTACCTCGTAAAACTAGTAACTGCTAAAGGGTCCAGATTCTTGCTGATCCCACTTTATCTGATCCTGTCCTCAGGCCATATCTCCCCCTCATGACCAATAGGGACATCTAAACGAGATGAAAATTTGCCTTTGCATTTACATTCGGTAATGATACGAGGATTCTAACCTATGGTCGAGCAAATAGTGGGGGTTGAGCGATCTCTCTGTCGCTGGCACCATGTTCTTTGACGCGGTCCTTTCAGTCACGAGTTCACGTCACGATTTTGACTTTTATAATTTCTTTTATCTTTTAATCAATCAATCAGATAATCTCTCCCCGAGTTATGCCGGTGGTGGCTTAAGTTCTTTCCTTGCGCCGCCCCCCGTCTCACAGTAATATTTTTATATTTTTATTTATCAATTGTTGTGCCGTTGTTTTATTATTTTTTTTTTCTGGACTCCTGTACGGAGTACATCTGTAGCCCTCTCTTATTCCCTTCTGAATCCCCCATCTTCTACTCAACATGACAACCGATGTATTTGCAGTTCCTAGTATGTGTTATTTCTTGCTATGGCCCGTCTGTTAGGAAGGGAATGCTTAGTTTGACTAACTTACCGAAGTATTCTTCATCTGCTTTCGAGAATGTGTTGAGACCAGCATCATCGTTTCTGTATTACTTGCCTTTATCAAGCAGACACTGGGGTCAGACACTGATGCCGTTACTCGCAAAAAGCTGATCAAACAGGTGACTGCCCTCTTCTCACTCCGTTCCCACCATATAGAGATAGTATTGACAACCAGTAGGTATGGTGGGGAGTTGCCGTCGGGCTATTTATATGCCTCTGTATTGGAGGTGGCATGATTGGGGCCTTCTACGGGTATGGCAAGGATCATTTTGCCAGTACAGAGGATCTATGGGAAGGTATCTTTGCTTTAGTCGCCGCCGTCATCATCACGGTCATGGGCGCAGCCCTTCTGCGGGTGAATAAATTGCAGGAGAAATGGCGTGTCAAGCTGGCCCAGGCATTAGAGGCAAAGCCTCAACCTCAAGGGAGAATGAAAGAAAAGATCAAGCAGTGGTCACAGAAGTACTTCATGTTTATCCTACCCTTTATCACGGTGCTTCGGGAGGGTCTGGAGGCAGTGGTGTTTATCGGAGGTGTTAGTCTCAGCTTCCCCGCAAGCGCGTTCCCTCTACCTGTGTTCACGGGAATCCTGGCTGGTGTGGTGGTTGGTTATATCATTTATCGGTGAGTGTGCTAATACAGATGACATTGAAATTGAACCCCAATGCTAATCGTAGTCTTCGCGATGTGTCATAGGGGCGGGAACCAAACCTCACTTCAAATATTCATGGTCATCTCGACATGTCTGCTTTACCTGGTCGCTGCTGGACTCCTGTCCCGAGGCGTCTGGTTCTTGGAGAACAACACTTGGAGCAACCTCATCGGTGGCGATGCCTCAGAAACAGGAGCTGGTCCTGGATCATATGACATCCGACAAAGCGTGTGGCATGTGAATTGCTGCAGTCCTTTGGTGAATGGCGGCGGGGGATGGGGAATCTTTAATGCCATCCTTGGATGGCAAAACTCTGCCACCTATGGTTCGGTCATCTCATATAATCTCTACTGGCTTGTTGTTATTGTGTGGTTCGTGATGATGCGGTATCGCGAACAGCAGGGGCGTTGGCTATTGATCGACCCCTTGGTCCGCCGACTAAAGACCCGGAAGGCTGATGGGTGCGTGGAAAACGTCGAAAGCACAGCAGCTGTTGGCGTATTGTCGAACAATAAAGCATCGGGGAATGGGGTTATGCAACTACAAGCCACGGAGGTCTAATATGGCTTGCGTCTACCAGTGCGAATAGATGTATTGTGTAGACAGATGTCTGTATTCAATGTGAGAGAGAACATCGAGCAACATCCCTTAATTCCCTCGTGAGACCAGCTGTTCGCAATCTTCCCATAACTTTCTAAAGTGTGTCTCAAACTGTATCTCTAGATAATCTTGGTTTCGTGGACACGGCCCGGGTCTACCAATGATTTAGTACGACTTTCGAAAGACCCATGGATATTCTCGCGTCTATTGCACCCTTCATACTTAGATCCAAGACATCAACAGATCTGAAGTAGCCATCGCCACATAGTCCATCCTACGAAGGAGACGCCCTGTATGTTGGGCGTGTCTCTTGGAGGGGGTTTCTGGATCACGTGGAGTCACACACTCTCCCTTGTCACGACTCTCCTCTATACTTTTTTAACCCTCCCGCCTCCCTTCATTGCAAAAGCCCTTCTCCCTGGAACATTTACATCCCACGATACCAATATTCCAAGCTATTGATTCTCCTACATTCTAGCAATGTATATGTCTCAATAATCTTTCTCTTGTATCTCAACAGTCCTAATCGTGCCAACACCACGCGATCGCCCCTTGGAATGCGCCCCGTAACCCAGTTCAAGGAAGATGAATAGTGTCGATGGGATAGTCCGATACTTGATTCTATGAAAACATGATGACTAACGTCTTTTGTACAGATAGGGATCAATGATTGACTTTGCTGACACCCCTGATACCGTCAATGTTAGTGCTGAGGTTAAAAAGGCTGTCTAGTTTACATTCCTCGGAATGACGTCCCAGGCAAGATGCAGGCCCTACTATTTCGCCTTCTGCATGCTCTCTGTTCCAGGCCTCCTGCCAATGCATTCCAACCCCTCATACTGACACACTTTATCCGCGTTGACGCGCCCAAGTCATGGATTATTTTCGCATTTAGTCCCTGAGGGGCCCTTCACTTTTGCTTCGTATTTCTAGAGATACATACAATTGCAGCCTCAGAAAGAGGAACATCCAATACTATCGATTCGGAATCATCCTTCCTGTTCTTAGCTTTTATCTTCCTTCTCAAGTAGCCCTGACTGTTCATATACACTCCGTCATCATTTACCGTGGATGCTCATCGGGTACACTTGCGGGGGCTGTGACACAGCTTGCTTCATTTGTTAAACCGGCGAAATTCACCATGACCAATGGGCAGATTGCCTCGAGAAGAGGAGGGTCTTGGACAAAGGTCGCCATTTTTATCTCTCTCTATGTCTTGCTTCTGGAATCCGTCATTGAGTGGGCTCTTGTACTCTATCTCTATGGAAATGGACGTGTCGACCGAAAAATGACGCCGAGCTTGATCCTTGCTCTAGTAGCTGTCAGTGCACCCCCCAAAGAAGTCTGCCCATATGTTACTGACTATTATTTCCAGTCTTTTCTCACTGTACCACTTGTCGTTCTTCATAGCCTTCTCGCATGGCAGTATAACAAAGTCCCAGGCTTTGGAGGCCAGAAGACAATGCTGCGTGCCGCCTGCACTTATCTCCTGCGAGTGACAGTTATTATATGGCTAGCGGCTAGTGTGGCAGGCCTAGTAGTGATCTCACAGCAGGCATCCTGCCTCCCTGAAACTGCGAAGGGTAGCTTTTGGAATACTGGCGTCAGCTGCGCTCTTCATCGGGCTGCGGTCATAGTCTCAATAATATCGTTGTAAGTGATGAGACTAGTGTATTTACTGCTGCCCCTTGCTAAATCTTCTTACTAGCATTACTACTTGTCTATACTTCTGTTCGAGAGAGCTCTGCGAGCGTCCATATGATGTGTCAATCATGGGCGTATACAAAAAGCAGCCATCAGTCTGTGATGAAAGTATCTTCTCGAACTCAAGCCTTGAAAGCGATACTTTAAAAGATGGCATTCTCTATCTTTGTCCCGGGCCCAACACGACCTACGGCACTCGAGACCCATATTGGCCATCGTCCACCGATCATGCATTCGACAAACCTACCGTGCCCAATCTCCAATACCCTCTAACGATTCATCAAAAGCTGCCATTGAATCCGGACGTGAGCCCTAAATCGGAGAATGCCAGAACATTCTCAGGTTCGACGTTGACACACAACGGTACCCTAAGTAACACCAATATACATTCAATCTCACGTACACCTACTTTTGGAACCTCAGGAGCTATAAGCGAACGACGCATGCAAACTCCCATTGCAGAATTACCCAGTGGTCAAGAAGACCCATCGATTTCCAGTCATCAAAGACAAAAATCTTCCTTGTCGTCGCTTCGCAAATATCTTCCAAAAGCGTTCCCCCTATCATTGCCTTTATCAGCGGATCCGCAAATTCGCGCTCTCGCCCATTCTAATACATCTCGAGATGTTGAAAAGCAAACAGGAAACGTGATACTGAATAATACCTGTTATTCCGAGCAGAACCTCGCTTATGTCGAGGAGAAAGAGGGGGTGGCTTCTGCACCGGTCGATTCTGAAACCCGAAGGCCACCAAATAGTCAAGCTCCTCCTACAAGCACCCAGACTCGACCAACCTCCTCGAACTCATCTGATGCACCCGAGGTCGTGCTACCTGCGCCTTTCAAGGTACAGAGATCTAACACAACTCATACTGCACCGATTCCTCGCACCATCCATCGCCACCGACCGAGTTATACAATCGTCCCACCAAACCCATTGGCGTGGCACCCTGTTAATAGAGTTGCCAGCCACAGAGCCTCCGTGGTGGAGCCTGATAATCATATGCGTCATAACCGGGGACCTAAGGAACGACGACAAAGTCGGCATTATCAATTCGAGCAATCGCACGTACCCCGCCATACCAGAAGTTATCATCAACCGCATAGCCGGTACAACTACCGTGGCCGGTACGAACCACGTCGCATGTCCTCACAGTCTCGAAGGAGCGATATCGAAATTCACTATCCCAGCACGCGAAGGCCACGCAGCACTACATGCGGTGGACTCGGGCCTGCAGGAGCTCTGGACAGCATCCGAGAATCAGGCGCATCGGTGGATGAAACTCGGGACATTATTCCTAATGCCAACACATATCGTGGTGCCCATCGTACAAGTATGGCTGCATTATGATAGATAACACAGCCTGCAGGTCAGGCTAAAGCCAAAAGAAGGCAGAGGAGTTTTTACAGGCATACCCCGTGAAAACAAAGTGATAGGGACACGAACTTGTTAATCTTATGTCTTTTGAGTGGGCTACTTTCTTTTCTCCTGTCTAAATAACTAGCAATATACCGATATTAAGTGTTCATGTATTAGTTTATTCGAAGTCGATGATTATTAGGATGAGAGTTTATGAAATTAATTCTGACCTTGCTCGTGGTTTCGCCATCTTGTATTGCCTTCGGTCATGTCTAACGGATTTATAATATAAGGGCGAGATAAAACCGTAAAACCATACATTCCTCACCTCTTGTGTGCTTGGGGCTTTTTCTTTTGGTTGGTCATATAAACCCACGAGATTCATATGACGAAAGAGAAGATGAAAATAGTAACAAGAATTGATCTATTCATTCGATTGACCCTAAATTACACCACTCAAAGTTAATGTCCCCGAAGCCAAACTCCAGAGAAAGCCCTCTTGTACAATAGAGAAACCAGCAAATTTATAGATATCCCATACACAATCCCAGGACCGGGAACTCCGAAAGATACAACCAGAAACCACCTAAAACAAAGCGCCACGCCGATTCCGTTTATGCCTTCTTCCTTCCATTCTTCTTCACGTACGCATACTGGTACGGCTGTGTCGGCCGGCCCTTATCATCGAAGTTCACTTTATTCTCTCCAAGCTCTTTCTGGCCCACAGTGTACAGAAAAGCTTTGCCGAATTGGTCGCGTTGACGGAGGGCAGAATCAACACGGTCTGCCCACACTTTCTCGCGGCTCTCGACGGACCGAGCGATTTTCCTATCAAGTGCTGCGGCTGTTTCGTCTTTGACTTTGATAATTGTTTCGAGTTCCTTGATCTCTGCGCGGAGAGAGTCTATCTCGTTCTCCTGTGTGGAGCGTGAGGTGCGCAGGGACTGAAGCTCGGACTTGAGTTTTGTCTCGCGCTTTTCGGCGGTACCTAGGAGATTTCTTAATTTACGGATTGAGTCGGCGTGGGAAGCACGTAGATTAGAAATGGCGGTGGCGTGGGCGGTTTGGAGGCTTCGTAGTTGTGCCTGGTGGGTTTCTTCCAGGGCAGTTTCTTTTTGACGGGTTGTTGGAGGGGAGGGTGGAGGGCTGGGTTGTTGCGTGTTCTTTTCTTCCTGCAGGCGCTGGATTGTATCCTGGGCTTCGGAGTACTCATCTCTCAGCTCGTTTAGTTCACGACCGGCCTTGTCCAAGTTGGATTTGAGTTCTTCTGCTCGTTTCGACAAACGGGTGTTCTCCCCTTCGATCGAGTTAATGAGAGATTGGGCCTCTGCGGCTTGTTCTTGGGACCGCTTTAATTGGGTCTCTAGCGCCTCTCGCGTTGATATCGCTTGTTCCTGTTCAGTTTGTAGCTTTGTCAATTCCTCACGTAGTTGTTCTAGCTCTAGCTCACCCGAGTCGCTGCCTTTCGGAACGGCTTCAGAGCGAATCGGCATGGAATTGATCAGCTCCAGAATATCTTCGTATGTGTTGCGGCCCGTCTCCCAGGGGAGATCCGCGGCCATCGCTTTGAGAGCGTTCTCCTGCGCGGTCACTTGCGACTGCGCGCGACTTAGATCGGCTTCCAGTGTGCTATTCTTCTCCTCTAGAGGCCGATTTCTGATCTCAAGCGTGGCAATCCTATCCTCCAGGGTCCGGTATTCACGATTTGCGCGGTCTACTTCCGCTTCAAGCTTCTGGATTTCCAGAAGGTGATCATCAATTTGGGCCTTCAGTCCCTCAGTTTCGGTATTCTTCTCACGTAGTTGCAGCTCCTTGGCTGTTGTAACTTCATTAAGTTTGGCGAGAGTCTCGTCTAGCGTAGCGTCTCGTTTTTTGAGTTGCTCTTGGGCTAGATTTAATTGCTGGCGCAAATTCGCGATCGTCTCTAGTCTCTCGGAGTCTATATCTGTAGGCGCCAGTCGGTCTCGGAACTCTTTTCGCAGTTCTGCAATCTGTTCCTGGAGTGCACTAATTCCGGTTTCATTGACCGAGGCCCTCATAACAAGAGACTCCTTCTCTTCATTTTGTTTTTGAAGTAGCTGAATTTGCTCACGCAGGAGCGAGTCATCGTTCCGGTTTGCATAGGCCTCATCCAGCAGAGCTGTCTTCTTCTGTAGTTCTGCTTGCAGATGTTTTATCTGCTCTCCAGCGGAAGCAGCCTCCAAGACCCGTCTGTGATTCCTTTCAAGTTGTTCATCTCTTTCTTGAACTGCCTGTTTCAACTCCGCAATCTGTCTGAGCAAATCGTCTTTCATATCCGTCTGGTCTGTACTGGAAGTTGGCTTATGTCTGCGAACCGACGGTGTCTTCACCGTATCTGGCTCATCATCTGGATCTTCCTCGATGTTCTCCAGCTGCGTCACCTCCTTCGAAAATGCATTGACCCTACGCAACAAATGCGACGGCGTAGACATATCAACGGGAGCAAATTCGCTGTACTCGCCAAGCTCTGCCTCATCCTCCACAGCGGGCTGCTGCAGTTGAGAACTCTGCTGCTGTTCCTGCTGTTCCTGCTGTTTTTGCTCTGGAGACTGCGGTCGCGGTGGCTCCTGCTCCTCCAGTGCCGGTTCTTCTTCTTCTTCTTCTTCTTCCTCCTCCACTTCTCCTAAATCCTTATGATCAAAGGTGTCGTCGTCGTCGCCCATGAGATATTTCTCTAGGTTGGCCGTGAAATCCTCGGGTCCGCCCACATCCGACAATTGGTCCTCATGAGGGAGCTTCGATTCCCCGAACGGTTCGTCGTTCCGCTCATCCAGACCTAGCTGACCGCTGGGGAATTGGTCAAAATCAAGCGTGTAATCTGCCAGGCGGGCGTCGAGTTCCTTCGCAGCGCGATCAAGCGATGATGCGCGAGAGGATGGCGGCGAGCCGGTGGGCGAGCGCGCGTCGCCGATATCGTCGCCGGCGCGATGGGAGATTGGGCTTCGCGCACGCTGAGGGGATCCCTCAGGGCTATGGTTTACGCTCGGAGGGGAGGAAGGCATGAAGAGCGGCGTTGCGAGGGTGGACGCGCCCACTGTATCGTGAGAGGTTGTGTCCATGATGAGGGTTGTCGCGGTCGGGGTATAAGTGAATGCTAGAAGTTATAATGACTTGGTTAGGGCGACATTATTGGTCCTGCAGATGGGGTGAATTGTGTCATGTATATCGTGCGTGGACTTTGATAACGATAACCATCAGATAGAGTACATACGTATGTCGATGTAACGGACGCGCCTGGACCGGCGATAGTACAAGGAACTCGGGTCGGGGCCGGATTCCTCAGGCTTCCATCTCTGGGGGTGTTTATTATTGCTCCATATTAGGTTTAGCGTAGAGTGAAGCTCGATCTTAGATGTACTGTACAGAGTACGGACGGAGTACGTATGTACAAACGGACGCATGGAGTAATCAATACAAATTACCAGAATTACCGTATTGTAAAGAGACACCCTTACCAAGACCAACCCCAGAGTGGATTTAAGACGGTACTAAGTTCTTGTAATCATGGCTGATTTCCCTCCTCTGATTCTCTCTCCAAACATTGACCCCCTGAGGTGCGTTCGGACTGGTCTTCTGTCCATACCGGTCGCGAAGCAATGAGAGAACCTGACGGCTAAGCTGCGGCCCCCCAGAGACCGTCTGTAATCTCTCTACCCCGCTGTTGCTCCTCATCGAAATGCTAGACTTGGTCCTGACTAGTGCAGCGCACCCCAAGTTAGGTCCAACCTCCCCTCCAAGCTAAGAGACAATGCCTCCCGTACCTGCGCAAGCCGACCGATGCCGGGTGATATGCTATCACCAGACACTTCGTCCGGATCGAGGCCAATATGTGTCCGCGCTACCGTTGGTGCAGAACAACACTGGTATCACGCACCTCATCATTGCTGCCTTCCACCTAAATGCCGAACCGGGACATATTACGCTCAACGATGATCCTCCCCACCATAGCATGTACGACGAGCTGTGGGAAGAGGTGCCTGTTTTGAAGCAGAGAGGGGTGCGCGTCATGGGAATGCTGGGAGGAGCAGCACAAGGTTCCTTCCGCTGTCTGGACGGTGATCAGGACAAATTCGAGCGGTACTACCTGCCTCTCCTAGCCATGATTCGGCGTCATCAACTGGAAGGGCTGGATCTAGACGTGGAAGAAGAGATGTCGCTTTCAGGTATCATTAGACTGATCGATCGACTCAAATCCGACCTGGGAGACAGCTTCATTATAACGTTGGCCCCGGTAGCAGCGGCGCTTCTAGGGATTGGTAATCTTTCCGGGTTTGACTACCGAGAGCTTGAGCGGCAACGGGCATCGAAGATTAGTTGGTATAATACACAGTTCTACAACGGCTGGGGCCCAGCGGATGATCCTCGTATGTATGCGGCGATCGTCGCGCAAGGATGGTCGCCGCAACGCGTCGTGTACGGGCTCTTGACGAATCCTGGCAATGGGTCGCAGGGCTACGTTCCTCGGGAGATCATCGGGCCTATACTGGGCCAGTTAGTAGAGCAGTTCCCCAACTTTGGCGGCGTTATGGGCTGGGAATACTTCAATTCCAAGCCCGGGGAGCGCGAGAAGCCCTGGCAATGGGCTGCGGAGATGTCGCTGAGCATGCATATGAAGGATTTGGTCATGGCTTTTTATCAAGGCCTATGGCGAGCGGTTTGAACGTTCTCCGAGGTATGAGGAATCAACAACGATAGAGACCTACGCCCGAGAGCATAGAATAGACAAACGATTGTCCATTACATTATATGCTGCCGTTTGCATTCTTTCATTGCCGGAGATATGTAGAATGATAGTAGATTACTTACACTGCTACCTGCGGAAACGATCTACTAGTAGTGTGTTATGCGCGTACTTGGTACCTACTTTTTAAGGCACCTGGCTGGATCGTCCAATGTCGTCATACCGCCAACACTATTCATTCCACCGCAACCCCGACTTCATTCTCAGGTCCACTGCTCTACCTTCCAGAACGTCACCTGAGGTTCTGCTCTAAAGCTCTAACGGACAGTAAATAATTCATGGCCCAAGGAACACTAGAAATCTCACAGCGCGCTTGAACCGTTTTCACGACGCTATGGTGTCCTTGCCGCGAGCTGCCGCAGCCACGAGCTCCGTGATACTCAGGCTTGCCGCCTTCATCTTCCTTCGCTGGGTACGTTCGTTCATGTTCGTTCGATTACAAGTAACGGGTGCTCATTCGTGTGCAGATCCCCGGTCATCATTTCCCACCTCTAATCTTCACCTCGCTAGTGGTGTATTTGTCTTCGTTGTTCTCGCTCAGTCGGTCGGCTGATGAGAACACCGCCAATCGCCCCCATGACTTGACACGCTCCAAGAACACTTCGAGTATATATATTCCTATCCTGTACAGCTTAATCACTCTAGATTTGCTCACAGAAGGCTGTATGTAGGGTCTGCAGAGCCTCCAGCTAAGGATAGCGCTCTCAAGACGCTTTTAACGGGACTGCCATCCCCCAGCTCGCCGTTGGTCACACGGCTGACCGTGCTGGTTAACATTGTCCTTACGCTCTTCGCTTCCGACCTTCTACTCCGAGGGGTGGTTTTCTATCCTGCAAACGATGTTGCCTTCTCTCGCATTGGCTATGTCTCCCCAACTACAGCGAATTTACTCGTTCGAGAGCCGGACTCCGCTCAACTACCCCTGGTGGTCTTCTACCAAGAAGTGGAGCAGGAGGACCCCTTGAAATGGGTGGAAGAAGGCATTATATATACACTTGATGAATCGACGGATTTCACAGCTTCGGTGACTTTAAAGAACTTGAAACCGTCCTCGCACTATCGGTACTCTTTGTCCAACAATCGCACCGGCTCTTTTGTCACCGCGCCTCTTCATGGCTCGAAATCTGCCAACCGGCTTAGCTTTCTGACGTCTAGCTGCATGAAGCCAAACTTCCCATACAACCCGCTATCTCATCCTTTGCGTATTGAGGGGATTGAGAAGATGACCGAGACCGTCAGCAAACTGCCATCCTTGCTTCGGCCGGCATTTATGTTGTTCCTCGGTGACTTCATCTATATCGATGTTCCACAGCGCTTTGGCTCGTCTGTATCACACTATCGCAGTGAATATCGTCGTGTGTATTCGTCTCCTTCGTGGTATTCTCATGGTGATGCCCCGGCTATCGACCTGCCGTGGTTACACACCCTAGACGATCATGAGATTGAGAATGACTGGTCGAAGGGCAACAATACAGCTCCCTATTTGGCCGCGGCTGACCCCTATATCCATTACCACGTTAGTGTGAACCCCCCGATCCCGGCCACTCCTTTCGCCAAGCCAGAAAATACAACGTATTTCTCTTTCATTAACGGTCCGGCGTCATTTTTTATGTTGGACACGCGCACCTATCGCTCCGAGCCCGCCCAACCGGACTCTACCATCCTCGGTTCGGCGCAATTGCAGTCCTTGCTTGCATATCTGTCTCGTCCTGAACCAGCCGAAGTGCGCTGGAAGATCGTCGCCTCCAGCGTTCCATTTACCAAGAACTGGCACGTCGGTACGACCGACACATGGGGTGGGTTTCTGAATGAGCGTCGCACGGTGTTTGAGGCCATGTGGCGCGCCGAGCGAGAGCTAGGAATTCGCATCATCCTGCTCAGCGGAGACAGACACGAGTTCGGGGCGACTCGGTTCCCTGATCCAACATTTGACTACACGCCCGACGAACTTCTGTCCGATACCGCCGGCGAAGGCCTACACGAGTTCAGTGTTGGCCCGCTCAGCATGTTCTACTTGCCCATCCGGACCTACCATCAAACCGACAATGAAGATGTCACGGTCAAATACATCCCAACCGGTAACACCAAGTACGGATTAATCGATATCGACATCCGCGATGAGACCGTACTCACCACCAGTGGCAAGACGGAAATTGTACCCAGTTCCGTCCTTACCTACTCACTCTACGTTGACAACGATGTCGCCTGGAAATATAGTCTCAGCGTCCCACTGCCCGGGTATGAGCGTGTTGTTGCCTCGGCTGCCTCTGTCAGGCACCCGCGATTCCTGCCAGGTAAAGTCCTTGAGGACAATCGTGAAACAGTTGGATGGGATACCCAGCTCAGGGCCGTGGTCAGTCAGGTGGAGGATGCAGGGGGGCAGCTAATTAGCCAGGTTAGGGATCAAATCTCTAAACTTTTGGATAAAACGGGAACGGCGGAAAGACTAATTTGAATATGGACATGGAACCGGCATAGATAAAACATATAGTATCAAAATTTCCCTGGCGATAATGTATCCATTCACACTGAAAACATGTTAATGTACAGTATATACAGAATACCGTCACTATTGCAACCTCCTATCGACGTGTAAAATGTCATGAGTATCGTTCGTTGAAGAAGTTAAAATTATACCATGGCAATGAAAACAATACGCGCCCAACACCATCCACATGCTGTATAATCGATCAATCGTGACCCATTAAGCGGTATCACCACGTAACAAACATACAAGAGAGAAAAGAGACATGACATGAAAAGAAGCAACGTTGGAATCACCGTCCTCTACCGCGTCCTCCGCCGCCCATCAATCCGCTCATTTGACTCATCATTCCCTGTAGATCCATACCTCCGAGGCCTGGCAGACCACCACCGCCGCCTTGTCCCTGAAGCATCTGCATCATCTTGGCCATATCGCCCATACCGGGCATGCCAGGGAAACCTGCGCCACCTGCGCCGCCCATGGATGCCATGCGTTTCTGCATCGCGGCGAGCTGCTGTTCTTTGTTGCCACCCTTGAGCATGTTCTGGGCTCGTTGCATCTGCTTCTTCTGCCCACCGACGCGCTTGGCCATACCCGCCATCATGCGGTGCTGCGACAGCAGGTCTTCGACCTCACGCACGGTCGTGCCGCTACCACAAGCGATGCGCACCATACGGCTGGGCTGCTCCACGAAAACCTTTCCATCACTGTCCAGCTCCGCTGTTGTCATACTATCAAAGATGTAGATCATGCGACGGAGTTTAAGCGAGCCATCTTCGTCATCCAGCCCAGCAGTGAGGTTGGACAAGCCAGGGATCATGCCAGAAAGCTTTGACAGGGGGCCCATTTTCATGATCGAGGAAATGTTCTCTCGGAAATCGCGCACCGTATAAATACCTTCAGCGATGTGCTTGTACGTCTCCTTGGCTGCTGCTGAGTCCTTGGTCACGGCTTGAACGTGCTCGACCAATCCTGCCATATCACCCATGCCCAGAAGCTTCTGGATGAAAGCTTTCGGCTCGAACCGTTCAAGATCCATCATATGTTCACCCGTGCCGAGGAAGATGATGGGAGTATGTGTAGCTGCTACCGCGGAAATAGCACCACCTCCAGCAGCATGGCCGTCCGTCTTCGTGATAATGATGGCACCAAAATCAGCCGTTGCCTTGAAGGCTGCCGACTGAGCTTCGGCCGCCTGACCAATCGTACTGTCGAGAACCAAGATAGTCTGGTCCGGGGTTACAGCAGTCTGAATCTGGGTCATTTCCGTGAAAAGTTCCTCCTCCTGCTTGTGACGACCGCTGGTATCGACGATGATAATCTCAAACCGCTCCTTCTTGAACTTGGCCACACCCTCAGCCGCCACCACTGCGGGGTCGGTCTGTGTCAAACTTCCATAATAAGGGATCTTGGCCTTTGTCGCATTCTGTTTCAACTGATCGAACGCACCGGCACGGAAGGTATCCGCACAGACAAGGGCCGTTTTGAAGCCTCGCATCTGATAATGTCTAGCTAACTTGGTACAAGTTGTCGTCTTACCGGCACCCTGTAAACCAACGAACATAATCACATTGGATCGGCCCTTCTTGGGTCGGAACGGCTCTGCATGTGGATTGACCAGAGCAACCAATTCGTCGAAGACCGCTTTCTGAATCAACCTCTTCTTATTGACGGCGGGGGGCAGGGAGGCGAAGTTGACACCGGACTTGATAGATTTCCGAAGTGACTGGACGAGACGAACGTTTACGTCGGCTGATAATAGTGCAGCACAGATCTCTTTCAACATGTCATCAAAAGCCTACAAGGCGTTAATTGCACGAAATCCCCTCGAAAATTGTATGCACATATTGGCCACCAACCTTCTCGTCTAGATTGTTGGACCTAGTTAGGTCATTGACGGCGGCGTTGATACGCCGCCCGAGATCCTGAAGGACCATGGCGGGCAATCTGTTAATCGATAAAAAAAAAAGTAGATATCACCGTATAATCAACAAGGACCAGCGAGTGCGGAAGTTAGCTGATTAGAAAGAATTATGGGAATGCTTGATGGATAGGTAGAATGTCGGAGAGGCCACCAATCTCAATCATTTCCAGTGCGGAGAGTCTGGAGCGGGCAGTCAGCCAATCAACAACATTATTTCCCTTCCGCCTTTGAATATATTCGAGACTTACAAGAAAAAGTAAAAAAAAAAAAGAACCAAACAATTTATATATCAGCACGAAGAAATTACCACCGCTGAAATTTGACATTCTTAATTATCATGCCTCTATCAACTACAGCAAAGAAGCGCAAGGTCTTGGAAGGTCTGCAGGGCAAAACTGGTCGGCCTCAAAAGAAGTTCAGGAAGCAGCGCGAATACCACAGCAGTTCCGATGAAGCGGAAGATGACGAACCAACCGATTTTAAAGCTGTCAGTTTGGCAGATTCCGATGAGGATGAGGTCGAAGTAAAGAAGCCGAAGAAACAGACGAAACAGACGAAAACTTCAATTGCTTCAAAGAACAAAAAGGACGAAGAGAGCAGCGACAAAGACGACAGCGACGAATCGGCTGACAGCGATGATAAGAAGGATGAAAAGCACGATGCTTCGGGCTCAGACGTTTCTTCTGGTGCTGAGGATGAGGATGATGATTACGACTCGGATGCGTCTATGCCGACATCAACTACGGACCACAGAGCTGTCCCCAAACGGAACGATCCTTCGGCGTTCTCTACCTCCATCTCTAAGATTCTGGCGACAAAATTACCTTCCTCTGTCCGGGCGGATCCTGTTCTGTCACGCAGTAAAATAGCCACGCAAGCCAGCACCGATTTTGCCGACGAGAAATTGGACAAGCAAGCACGCGCCAAACTGCGCGCCGAGAAGCAGGAAGAATTGGATCGCGGTCGGATTCGCGATGTTCTGGGAATCCAACGAGGCGAGGCTGGCGCTGTCGCGGAGGAAGAGAAGCGTCTTCGGAAGATCGCTCAGCGTGGTGTGGTGAAGCTTTTCAATGCGGTTCGTGCAGCCCAAGTGCGCGGAGAAGAAGCGGCCAAGGGTGAGAGGAAGAAGGGTACCATCGGTATTGGCGAACGAGAGAAAGCCGTCAATGAGGTCAGCAAACAAGGATTCCTGGAGCTGATTAGTGGAAAGAAGGGCAAGCCTTTGAATATCGAGGAGGCTTGAACGGAGATTCTGTATATGTTAAGAACCAGGCATCTCTTAGGCGTTCGGGATTTTCTTTTATTTGTTTGATTGCACGTTTGGATTAAAAGTTATTCCTATTTACAGATTCTTGCAAAATAGAATGGAGATGAGAATACCCAATAGTACAATATACATTTAAAACCAGTAGCCTCCGACATTTGCTCGGTCGTCCTAAAATGCTGCTTCATTGTATTGCTTGAACGCGCTTTGAATCCCCCCAACAGATACCACCACATCACGGCACAATGTCCTGGTGGGGTTTATTTCTTTGGCTCAAAGTCACTCGCCTGCAAGTTGCGGGTCATAGAGGGCAGACGGACAACTAGTCCGTCAAGCTCCTTGCTCATGATAACCTGACATCCTAGCCGAGAAGTCTCTGTCAGTCCGAATGCCAAATCCAGCATGTCGTTCTCGTCGTCGGATGGCTCTTCCATCTTGTCGAACACGTCCGGGTCCTCCACGATGACATGGCAGGTCGAGCAGGCACATGAACCGCCGCAGGCTCCTAGCGCGGGGAAAACCACAGTCAGTAAACAGCCTTAAACATTGCGCCCTGCCCCAAGGGGATGCGAACCTTCCATTTCAAGATCATTGGCCTGCGCAATATCCAGCAAGTTGTCCCCCTCGGATACCTGGAAGTCGTATTTCTCGCCATCCTTATCAATGAACGAGATGTTGAGTCTGCAACGAGGCAAGTGGTTAGCACATACTCCATGGGATAGCCTCATAGATAAGTCATGACTTACTCCTCCCCGGGCTTCGGAGGTGTGATGTGTCCATGTTGGACTCCCGCGGTGGCCGAAAAGCTTCGGTATTCTGGGTTCAATCCGTTCCATGACCGCCGTTGACTCACAGTCAACCCAGGTCTCTTAGTGTGCAATGCGTACTGATTGGAGGCTGTCACCCGAGGACTCTGTGAGGAATAAGTAAGGAACCGTTTCGATTGGGCGCGACATGCGCGATCCCCGGGGACGGTCTTCGGGACGGCATGACGCAAATTAAGGAAAGTTTCTCTCCAGAACGACATGTTTATAGAACACTAATGCGGCGAGGATAACAAAGAACTATAGTACCGAAAGTATAGTGAGTAGACACCAGAAGAGTAGATTGCCGAAAGGCAAAGGAGTATAGAAAGGAAAGTCTAGGAGAGGGACGTTTTCAATTGGAAGTCAATCGATTGGAATCTGGAGGAGAAAAAAAGAGTAACTCCGAGGAGAAGGCGGGAAATTCGGACATAATCATTCGCTGCTTCCAACTTAACCTTTTTTTTGCTCGACCTTTTTTGCTCTCCGCCTTTGGGACCTTAACGGTAATTTTAATTTAATAACAATTCCAAAACTCCGACAAGAACATCCGCCCTCCCCTTTCCACAAGAAGAAGACGTTCATCTCTCGATACACCCCTCTCAACGATGTCATCTTCTCGTGAAGGGCTCAATCCTCTGCGCCCTTATTACTTCCCCCCCTCCATGGGCCTGGAGGCCGCCAACGCCACTTCATCCCCTCCAGATGCGTCATCGGCCCATGTTTTTGGAAGCTCTGCCCGCGACTTGCTGTCCGACTTGGACTACTCAGACTATTTGGAAAACTCCCCCTCGGTATCAAGCTGGATTAAAGATGCCTTGGACCGTGCACTTTGGAAATATACCAGTCTGTTGACCGCACAACCGTTTGACGTCGCGAAAACCATTTTACAGGCCTATGTCGTGCCGGGCAGCCAGGATGGACAATGGCTTATGGATGGCCATCGGAGGCAAAGTTCGGGTGCTCAGGGCGATCTCTATGATGAGGAGGATGAGGATGAGGAAGAAGAAGAGGGAGTTGTAAGTTCTATGTGGATCCCTAGAGGGACTAGAGGGGGAAACAATCTACCTGAGGGCTAACGTTGCCATACGTCAAATAGGATGCGCTATCCTCAGATGATGAGAGCAGTTACTTCACGTCGACAACCCCCGCCGCCTCATCACCCTCAAACTCACGATCTCGAAAATCTCGACGCCATATCACTGATCGAATGGGTTACATTCAGCCCTCAACCCCATCGTCCCGGAACGCTTTGAAAATCAAAAACCCAAGCTCCCTGATGGATGTACTGTCTCAGTTGTGGACTACCAGCGGACCAACATCCCCATGGAAAGCAACCAATGCCACCTTCATCTACTCCCTACTCCTCCCGACCTTGAACACATTCATTCGCAGTCTTCTGTCAGCCATTGTGGGACTACCAGAGGACGATATTTCGTCCTCTATGACAGCAGACATTCTGACGTCGACCTCTCCAATCGCTACCTTGGTCCTGTCATTCATCTCTACGTCCTTGTCTGCATTGATCCTCTCCCCGATTGATACGGCACGCACACTCCTCATTCTCACGCCCGTCACTCATGGACCCCGCTCCCTTATACGTGCCATCCGACAAATCCCGACTCCCAACTGCACGGTACCCCCTCATCTAGTCCCAATCACGATCCTCCATTCGAGTTTGCCGAACTTCATAATGACCACCACCCCGCTCTTCCTGAAATCGTACCTCTCCCTTGACCCCGTCCTCAACCCGTCCATGTGGAACTTGTTTACTTTCATGGGGTCCGGCTTGGAACTGGCAGTCCGGTTCCCTCTGGAAACTGTGCTGCGTCGCGCGCAGATCGCTACTTTCACGTCCCCAAGCCTCCGCCAACAACCTACTAGTAGGCTACCTTCTGCAAAGCCCTCAGAGGCTGTTTCTGCAGCCCCAGAGATCGAGACCATCGTTCCGACACCCCGTACATATAGGGGTATTGTCGGAACGATGTGGGGTATTGTCTACGAGGAGGGTGTTCAGCCGAATCCAGAGGCTGAGAGGGCGCAGGCCTTATTCGACAAGCCCCTTGCGCTGAGGAAACGGCAAGGCCAGGGAATCCATGGCCTCTATCGCGGCTGGCGAATTGGTATGTGGGGGATTGCCGGTATCTGGGGCGCCAGCTTTCTTGGAAGCCCCGGTGCTGTCGGGGAGGATGGAGCGATGCCCAGTGGAGGCCGCTTTTGATCAAACCGCATGGCATTGAAGATTCGTGTATCTGACACCCCCACAGTTGTCTCAAGTTAGCCCACCTGTTTATCTTGTTACCATACCCACTCCCCTTCGCTTTTCATCCTTGTCCTGCTCCTAATCAAGTCCTCGCTCCCTCTACACCCTATATTTTTTTTGTCCACCTAGCTGGCGCAAGGGGGGTGAAGGCGTTGGACCTGTTTGTGTTTATTTTGTAGATATCAACGGCGGCGATATCCTTCCTGACAGTTCTTCGAATCTCCTTTCCCTTTTGTTCCGGTTGTTTACATGGGGAATATGTACATCACTCATCCCACTTTAGCGTCATGATACATCAGCCATCTCATCTCCCTATACAGAGCCATTCATTTCAGATAGCAGTGGCAATGAATCCGTTCCATCTGTTTCAAAGGAGTTCCCATTATGATGAAAATACACCTCGTATGTTGGTAAACAAATACATCAAACCAACCAGATCGCCACCCAGAAATACCCATTCCATCTAACTAACATGATCCCAACTTAATTATCCAAACCAGTGAAACTCTCTATTGAATGAAACACGACTGTTTTCATTTGAGCCGCGGCTCGACCCGTACACATTGTTCTTTTGGGTCATGTTCGTCTTGAGTTTTATTTTTGAGTCATCCGAAATCATCCCAGAATGCAAGCAAATAAAAAAAAAAACGCCAGTCATTCACCCATCTGATCATTGGAGTGAATTGTAGTCATTCCGTTCCATCCCATACCATGTCGATCTATCTAACCCCCCTTTTTTAACGTAAGCTCGAAGTGAAGCAAGAAATAGCCCTTGCTTCTGTTTGTTTTTTCATTCAAGCCCCCTCAGTGCATGTCACAGAGGTCAACATAGAACAAATACCATGGAAACATGGGCCCGAAGACCGAAGATATTAGAAAAAGAAATGCAGCCCGCCCTATCATGAGTTCAAAAAAAAAAAAAAAAAAGATAGTGTATAATACAAACTCAGACGCGAGTCAAGTTTGGGTATCATAAAGAACGAAAAAGAATTAAAAGAAATATATGGCATGGATTCATGAACGTCTTTAGCTTATTTGTCGGCAAACCTCCGATCAAAGTAGCGCAAGACGCCCATTACACTCGCTGCCTCGACCTCGAGGGCCGCCCTCGAGGAGCATCGATCGGGCGATGCAACCTCCTTCGGATTTGGTAATGTATGCAGCTTAGGAAGCCACGTAGAAATTTCATCGCTGGCACGGGAGAAATTCGGGTGTCGTGACAGTGTCGTGAACGCGTCAGCGCAAGAGAGTGTTAGTGAGGGCGTCGTAGATCTACCAGATGTCGATTTGGCAGCGGCAGCACGCGGGGGGTTGGAACTGCGTGACTGGCAACACCCACCATCGGCGCCTTTACCGCCGCAACATCCGGAGGAGGCAACGCTGGCGGAGCGAGAGGCCGCCAGCGTCTTGCAAAAAAGGGTACTCTTTGGGTCCGCAAGACATTGGGCACAGGTGCCAGGGCCATTCGCACAGGGATTAGTTGCCTGACTAATGGACGGCAGAGTGACTTCAGAGCGAACGTCGCCATCGGAGGGAGGTGGCGTGAATTGAGACAGGTTTTGAATGGGTGCGAGACGGTTGTTCTCGAAGGATTGTCGGCGCTGCTCTTCCTGGGCGGCCATTTCCGCACAAATACATGGGGTTCCATCCTGACAAAAGCCGCACGGATCAACCGCAGGGGATGAAACAGCCGTGGTAGTGTCTTCCTGCGGTTGAGGGGCAGCAAACCGAGTGGTAAAGTCGATTTCCATCTCCTCCGGGTCGGGCTTTATCTCAGGCTCGACACGCCCTTGTCCAGTGGTGCTAAGACGATTGGAATTCAACGGCTCAACGCCTGGCATTGCAAATGCATCTTCAATACACTGACAATGTGTCGAAGAACAACTAGGACAGCCCAGTGGCACTTCCTCCCGCTCATCATGGGTAATACCGCCGTTTGCGTTGCTCGGCGAAGACCTTTCATTCGTAGCTCGTCCAGAGCTAGATTTTTTGGCGGACACGCGAGTCAAGGGTGCCCTACCAGCAGGAACATTTTTATCCGAGAGCGACGACCGGAACTCTTTAACAAGGGCTTCCTTCGCGCTTCTTTCTACTGAGACTTCCTTCTCCAGAGCGTGGCATCGGTCGCGCCACCACGTCATTTCATTTCGGCACTGTTCGACTTCATGAGACAGGTTTGAAATTTGTTCTTTGAACGCTGCCACATGAATATCGTGCTCCTCTTCGATTTTCTTAATTTGGTCTTCGAGCTCATTGACGCGGGCGGCTCTACGTTCCCTGAACGCTCTTTGGGCCGCACGATTCTGCGCCTTTCGTTTAGTAGGCGGCGTATCCGTGGCAGGCTTCCGGCCAGGCTTGGGACGTGGTGGTATAACCCATTCCTTGGAGGTGACGGATCCGGGTGTACCCGGTCCGGGAGATGGTGAAATGTTTGGCTTGGCGGCAATTGCGGGAGCCAACGGAGCTGGAGTGGGCGCAGGGGCTATTGAGGGTGCGGGAGTTGCCATTTTGTTCAGGATTGCCTCTTTCTTTCAAGAGGAATTCTGGGTAGAAGTTAGCGGGTCATGACCCCGGGATGCGGGTGTAGAAGATAAGGGTGAGGGTGGAAAGTGTAGGAAAAGAATGTCCACGGACCAACAGGTGGTGTCACTTGATCGCGGCGGCCGGAAGAGCGGAAGTGCGCCCTTGCAGCCAGTAAGCGAGACGAAGGATTGGTGAGCTGTGAGAAGTGCAATCTGGAAGCAATTCCCCCTGGGTTCGAACTGCCAGAGCATAGAATCTCTTGGGGGTATGAATGAACGAAATAGACTCGATATGAAATGCAGAGGAAAGGAAAGAAGGAAGCCGAGGAAGAGGGGGAAACAGGATTGGAAAAAGGTGATCGGATCAGATTAGATTATCGTGCGGTCTCCCCGATTTCGGCGAATGGTGGAGTCACTTACTCGCTTGGGTTCCTTATTCGTTGACCCATACTTTTGCTCCCTGGTTATCAATCAATGGAGACGTTGGCGTTTGCACGTATTAGGGCATGAACTAAAGCTTCCTTCTGCCCTGCAGTGAGCCTAGAGAGAAAGTACCCTGGATGCTGTAGTAGGTATGCACAAGAACACACCCCTCTGGCGCTGGACACCCTCAACATATCAAGAATAATTCCTCGTTTTGTGGGAAACTTACCGAGTCTCATAGCATGTATGTAACCCTAATCTGGAGTGGTGACTTCAATAATTTCCTACAGACTCCATCCTCAATCCCATGGAACTTGAAATTTCCTCTTCCTTCAAAACCACGAAGTGGATGTGGTGGATCCTACATACTCTTTTCGGTACTAGACCAGTGTGGAATCTGCTCACCCGCGGTGGCCGCCATCAACCTTGGCTTTTTTTTTTTCTTTTATTTGTCTTTTCTTTTTCGTTTTCTATTCTCCGCTCCTCTTTCTTCTAAAACTTACATGATTTAATCCAATAGGGCAGTGTTACAATAGAATGTTCCCTACAATCAAAAATCCATAACATAGTTCATAATCTTCGGGTACGGTTGAGTTAGCTCTTGGTTCAGCTAGAGCTATGGGAAAACTCGAATTACAAGAAAAGTCATCAGTATCTCAGGTAGTCATACTCTTCCCTATGAACTAAAGAAGAATATATCTTGAAAAAAAAAATTTGCATTTTCATTTGTCACTTTTCTCCCGTAGAAACGCGACTATAATGGTAATGCTTTCCATTCGGCACTTCACATCCCTCCATCATCTGATCTTATCTGATCCCGGCTTTACCACATTGGGCTATCTGATGCCGTAATACGCTAAACCGTCCATCGACGATCGCTTGAACAGACGAATCCTGTTAACCTTGTTTAGCATAGCTGACTGGGACCAATGCTTTATAGAGGGGACGGGAGGGATTTTTTTTGCTTTGTTTTACTAATATCATGGGTTTCAAATCCCAGCCACCTATTGTCTGCCTTCCTAATTGACCTTGTGTCCTGCACGGTTTCGACGCCGATCAACGGAATCAAACGGGCGAAACCCGGACTGAAACTGTTGTGGTATTTTACCACGGAGATTCCCCTGGTTGACCGACTTTCGTAGGGAACCTGTGCATGGCAACATGGTCCCTCTGGGCCCCCTGGGTCCCTTGCAGTAAGCCAATAATGTGGAGTATGAGAACGTGGAATAGGCGAGCAATCGCCTCATGGGATAGAATATGCTTGTAAGGCAAAGCCAGCATTAAGGGACCTAGGGTTCTGTATTTCGGATCCAAGAAACATGCTCTACACTCGGACTAGATTACTATTTGTGGGAAAGCTGAAAGTACTCCGTTCTCCACGTACATTGACTGTGCTGTCCTTGACACTGGCTGGACGAGTTGCCATCTGCCGGTCCTCGCCGATTGAAATGCCAATCCTGTAGCACGAAATTTTTCATCCTTGGCTTTTACTTTCCCTCTCTCTCTCTCTTATTGTGCTTTTAGTTTGCATGTAGGTCAATCTTCGTATGTAGAAATTCAAATAATAGTAAGATTATCCGTTCAAAGCTCGGTCAGCTGGGGCGAGCCTTCCGTCGGGGGTGATGAGAATTTGGTCTGCACATAAACCTTCTGCATACCTTTGTCCCGTCTCTCAAACGCCGCGTACAATTCTGGCATATTCTCCAATGGTACACGGTGGGTTACCATGTCCAATGGATTAATCTCTTGCCGCCTTATGAGTTCCAAGAGGTGTTCCCAGTATTTCTGGACTGGAGCCTGGCCGTTGCCGATGAACCGGATACCGGTTTGCATGAGAGCACCAATATTGAAGTGGTTAGTCTGTATAGCAATCAGTCAATACCCGAGGGAAAAATCTGCAAGATATGCAGGTCTTGCTTACGTAGCCAGCGTAGACCCCGGTTATGCCAATTCGTCCAAACGGCCGGACAGCAGTGATCATCTCATTCAGAATTTCCGAGGTGTCTGTCTCCATTCCCAGAAGCATCTCAAAGTAATGCGCCCATCCTTTGGCGTACTCTCCCGCAGCACATTCCAGTGCCACATCTGGCCCTCCAGGTACAATCTTTTTTAACTGGGAGGTGATTGATTCTCCTCTTGGTAGGTTGCTGAAATCTATTGTCTCAAGCTTTGGTATCTTGCTCTTGACAAAATCCAACCTCCATGCTCCCTCTCCTCCATCGATAAGGATGACACGAGTGGCCCCATGGCTAAAGCTGTATTCCACTGCCATCTGGCCGATTGGGCCTCCGCCCCAAACAGCTACAACATCGCCTTTCTTCACGCCCGTATCAACCACACAATGATACGCGGTCGCCAGGACATCTGAAAGGTAAAGGCCTTTCTCATCTGGAACGTCCGCTGGGAGCTGCAGTAGATTAACATCGCCGTAAGGCACACGCACGTACTCTGCTTGGCCTCCCGCAAACCCCCCGGTAAAATGGCTATAACCGAACATCCCTAGGGTAACAAAGATAAGCTTCAGCTGACAAGAGACATCCGGATACAAGCCATTTACCTGCTGTCCGTTTACCATACATCGCATTCGTAATGGAGTTTTCATTTGTCCGTTCACAGGCTGACGTCAATTGCTCCTTACAGTTTCTGCATTCTCCACAAGCAATTGGGAAAGCTGCAACAACGCGATCTCCAGCCTTGACCTTCTTCACAGTTGGTCCCACGCTTTCGACAACGCCACAAAATTCATGGCCGAGAACATCACCCTTCTCTAATTGAGGAATGACACCTAAGCCGAGGGGTGAGCTGGCAAGTCTATCGATGGCCACTCGGATGGATTCATACCATGGTATAGATGAAGATCACTTCCACAGATTGTGCTACCAGTTACCTTGACTATCACATCACCTTCATCTACAACTCTTGGTTTTGGCATCTCGACTGCTGACTTGTTAGGCTAGCCGTTTCTCGATTATGTTTCAATACGTACCGATTTGAACACTGTTCTTTCCCTGCCATGTCGTGGCCTTGATCTTCTCTCCCGTTTCCTGCCCGTAGGCTCCCTTGTCGTAGTTACTCACATCGGTTGCGACGGTGGCATTATCACTATGCCCAATCACTTTTTCCACGAGATTTGCGGCTTGAGATGCGGCCATTTTCAGCTATTGGAATAGTTCCAAGAGCTCTCTGATCAACTTACAGTCCTAATTGCGGATGGTGCTTGCGTGTATTAAAAGGCGACATTTCAAGAGTGACTGTTTAAGTACATCATCCGGACTGACATCACTATGAGTCGCCTGGGGTAAAGTTCTTGGAACGCCCAACCATAGTCGACTGGCTTAATAATGATATATTCCAGCATTGGAAATTTTTATGGCAATTTTTGTTTTACATCATTTCTGTTTCAAGCGTGAGCGCAGTGGTGGGACTTGCCCTGAAGCTGATGACGCCATTTGCAAACCCACTCAAGATTGAGCCTTGTCGGTGAGAGAAATATTGCTTGGGAAGCTAGGCTTCATGCATGATAGTCACCCGGTCGAACAGAGATAGTGATAGATCAGAAAGGCATTGCCAAAAAGCTATGCCTCTCCAATGCCCAAGAAACTGCGCCGGTCATGTGAGTCGAACAACTGGTCAATTCGGTGCGATCGACAAGACGAAAGAGGAAATCCGTCCAGTCGAGACCTAAACCGATGCATGTCCGTATGTGTGTCTACCTGATAGACCACATCCTATCTACCCATGCTTCGTGGCGATATCTATGTTGTTCTTCAGTTGCCGAGAGGGTCCTGTACGGTCAGATGAGGGGGATCTCGTCCTTTTTAAAATTCCCTTCGCCCCTCTCTGGCGTTTGGAATATCTCAAGCTTCTGCATGCCACTTCAATTCGTGTTCAGCATGCTGCATTTTTGAAGCGTTTGTCTTTGATTTCTTGCTCCGCTTTCGATATTCCTCGCAGCCACGTGGTGCTCCACTGTCAAGTTCCACAATGAAACACCATCTCGATCGTATTATCGACCATGTCCATACCCCGGAGAAACTCCGTCCCCATAATCATAATCACCACCACCACCACCAACAATACCAGCAACCCCCAATGGCACAAGGTCGGTGAATCTCCACTTGCATTTCTATCATTTCCAAGAAGAGAGGCCAGTTCAATTGAACCTCTCCTATACTCGGCCCATAGGGCACTCCTATGCTATTCTACACTACAGCATCCTCGAAGCTATAGCTTTTTGATTTGTTGTACCATATTCATGCTTTTATTTCCAATTGTGTCTTTCCTACTACACGCATCACTCAAAGGCCCGGCTGTGCATATAATACTTGTGTTTCTCAGATGTTAATATTTGAAATTTTCCGGAAATCTCAACATAAACTAGACCTTGTTTCGTTTCACATCAAGGCTAAGAGGCTCACCATACATCGTCTTTTCACTTAGCAGTGCCCCCCGTTGTTGCTCAACCTCCACCGCAGGCCGTCCCCACACCGCCTGACTCGCATAATGTTTTCGCCCACTTCATCGTAAGGAAAAAGCCCAGTCCTCACAAACGGGCGTCGTGCTATGCTGACGGATACTAGATTGGCAATGCGTATTATATGACGTCAGATCAGTGGGAGTCGGACATTGTAGAGGCGCAGAAAGCTCACATTGATGGATTTGCATTGAACGTTGCACCGCAAGACCATCACACCGATCGAGCCCTCCAAGCAGCATACGATGCTGCTGAAAAGATTGGAAACTTTTCCCTGTTTATCTCGTTTGACTACCTGTCCGGTGGGCCTTGGCCGGCAGATCGAGTTATCACCATCATCAATTCTTATAAGAATCGAAAGGCGCAGTTCTACTACAAAGGGAAGCCACTGGTATCCACATTTGAAGGTGTGGGCAACGCAGGTGACTGGCCGAATATCAAGTCCGCTACGGGTTGTTTATTCATCCCCTGCTGGACGAGCATGGGACCAGCTGGTATACGCAATGTTCTGAATGATATCGACGGTGCCTTTAGCTGGGATGCTTGGCCGGTTGGTACAGAAGACATGAAGGTGACAAACGATCTGGAGTGGATGAAAGCTCTTTCAGGGAAGCCATACATGATGCCCGTAGCTCCATGGTTCTACACGAATCTCCCCCAATGGGGAAAGAATTGGCTCTGGCGCGGAGATGATCTATGGCACTATCGTTGGAAACAGGTCATTGAGCTGCAACCGCCTCTTGTCCAGGTATGGTCACCTTTATTTAATGTCGGCGATT